GCAGATTGAAATATTATCTGATATAAATATCAAATACCGAAGAGTTATGCTGCTTGCATCTATTTTACACCGATGTAAAGACATCGGTTGAGAATTGTAAATAAATAATACAGTCCCAAGAAAAACAGACAATTTTGAAGAAATACTCTGATTTTTCTTCATCTTCTTCCTTGAATTTCTCCACTTTGCTTTCAAGTTTCAGTATACTGGTTGGGTGATTAAAGTTTATTTTAGTGGGCATTGTATCCTGGGGATAACGTTTCCTATAGAGAGCTGGAAACTATTATCCTTAAGAAAGGTTCTTGGAATTGCCTTGCTCACACCAATTGCATCTACAACTCTTTGCATACAACAATTTAAGGATAATAGTCTTTCCAAATGGAGTCTGGAATTGTCAAACCGCACATCGATGTTGAAAAATTGGAACGCTTCAATGGGCTGAATTACAAGCGGTGGAGCATGAAGATTTATTATCAAATCACTGTTTTGAAGGTGGCATATGTCTTGCATAATCCATATCCATAAGACTGCACTGGCACTGTAAATGGAGAATTGACCGAGCAGCAACGCAAGTGGCTCGAAGATGATTATGTTTGCCGTCTAACCATTTTGCAGGCCATGACAAATTCTCTCTTCAATGCTTTTCACAAACACTCCACTGCTCTTGAGTTATGGCATGCAGTAGAACAAAGGTATGTGAATGAGGATGCTGGCAACAAATCTTTCCTTGTCAACAAATATATTGATTTTAAGATGAGTGATTCCAAGCCTGTCATTGATCAAGTCAATGAATTAAATGATATTGCAACGGAATGTGCTGATGCCGGTGAACCAATTTCTGAGACCTTTCAAGTGTCTACCATAATTGGTAAATTACCACCTTCGTGGAAGGATTATCAAAAATTCCTTAAACACAAGAAAAGGTCTTTGAAAGTGGATGAATTGATGAAGCACATCCAAATTGAATATGAGGCTCGAAAAAGGGATGGTCAAGACAAGAGTGATAATGTGAATGCTTTGGAGGGGCCAGCATCTTTTTCCAAGAAACCCAATCACAAGTTCAAGACAGGACAAAAAGGGTCTTTTTCAATGAAAGGCAAAAATGGCAAGACTTGGCAACTTTCAAAAAGAAGAAAGGACCATGCTTTGTATGTGGAAAATTGGGGCATGTTGCTATGCAATGCTACCACCGTAAAGGTAAGAAAATTGGTGAAACTAATATCATCACAGAGGATGATATGGTGGCTATGCTCACTGAATTACTTGTTATAAATAATGAAGAGAATTGGTGGCTTGATTCAGGAGCAACATGTCATGTGACTCCATTTAAAAGTTCTTTCAAGACATATGAAGAATTGAATGGAGAAAAATCTGTCTTCATGGGAAACTCTTCCACATGTGCAGTTGTTGGTAAAGGGACAGTGAAACTTTCCTTGACTTCTGGAAAAGTTCTTACTTTGCAAGATGTGTATCATATTCCAGGTCTTAGGAAAAGTTTAATTTCTGTCAAAAAACTTGATGATCATGGGTTTAAAGTTGTATTTGATTCCCAAAAAGTGATCATTTCCAAGAAAGGATCCTTTGTTGGGAAAGGCTATGCCAAAGACAATATGTATGCTATTAGTATAAATAAAGATGCATCTAATTCTGCTTATATTGTTGATTCTAGTGATATTAATCATCTTTGGCATTTTAGATTAGGACATATAGGTAGTAATGCATTAAAACGTATGATTTCTCATGATTATATTCCTAAATCTAGCTCTATTCTCAACATGAAAACATGTGAATGTTGTGCACAATCTAAGGTTACTAAACCATCTTTTAAATCTGTTATTAGGAATACATCTTTGTTGGATCTTATTCATATTGATTTATGTGATAACAAGGATAAATTGACTAGAGGTGGTAAACGTTATTTTATAACATTTATTGATGATTTTTCTAAGTATACTTATGTTTATTTGCTTAGAACTAAAAATGAGGCTTTAGAAAAATTTAAGATTTTTAAGCAAGAAATAGAGAATAAAACAAATAGAAAGATTAAAAGAATTAGATCAGATAGAGGTGGTGAATTTAATTCTAATGAGTTTATTTCTTTTTGTGAAGAACATGGTATTCTTAGAGAATTTTCAGCCCCTAATTTACCTCCACAAAATGGAGTTGCTGAAAGGAAGAATAGAACTTTGATGGAGATGGTTAGTGCCATGTTAATTCACTCTAATTTGCCATTTAGTTTTTGGGGTGAGGCATTTTTACTGAATGTTATATTTCTAATAGAATTTTGCATAAAGGTAAGGAAATGACACCATATGAATTATTAAATGGTAGGAAACCAAATATTGATTATTTTAAAATTTGGGGTTGCTTTGCATATGTTTTAGATTCAACCATGAAGAGGCCTAAAATTGGTAGTAAGGCTATAAAATCAATTTTTATTGGTTATTCATTGCATAGTAAAGCATATAGATTTCTTAATTTGAAAACAAATAGTGCTTTTGAGCTATTCATGCAATTTATTTTGAGCATTTAACTATTAAAGATGCTGGTAATTTAGAATTAAAAAAGGATTTATCAAATGAATTGAAATTTAATTCTTTTGCACACAATAAGCATGTGGAAGATGTTGGTACAACTATTTTGTCTTATTCTAATTGTTTAAATGGTCAAAAGCTTGATAATAGTCACATGGGTGATGGCTTGCGTGAAAATGCTTCCAACCAAAAAGGTGAAAGCAATGCTTCCAACCAAAAAGTTGAAAGCAATTCTAGTCACATGGGTCATGTCCCCAACCGAGAATATGAGAACAAAATGAAGGAGGAACCGGCATTAAGAAGAAGTAAAAGACAAAGAATTGAAAAGGATCTTGGTCCTGGTATGTTTACATACTCTTTGGAAGAGGACCCAAGAAATTTTAACGAAGCCACGGCCTTACCAGATGCTTCCTTATGGAAAAAAGCCATGGATGATGAGATAAAGTCTATTCATGATAATTATACATGGATTTTGGTTGATCTTCCTCCTAATACTAAACCTATTGGCTGCAAGTGGGTTTTGAGAAAGAAATTAAAAATAGATGGAAGTATTGATAAATATAAAGCAAGATTAGTAGCCAAAGGGTTTAGTCAAAAAGAAGGGTTGGATTATTTTGAGACATTTTCTCCAGTGACTAGATTTACTTCTATTAGAATTCTGTTTGCCATTGCATCCATTTATAATCTTGAGGTACATCAAATGGACTTGAAGACAGCTTTTTTGAATGGAGAACTTGATGAGAAAATCTACATTCATCAACCCAAGGGATACATAGTGCAAGGTCAAGAGGATAAGGTATGTAAACTAAACAAATCACTTTATGGACTTAAGCAAGCACCTAGGCAATGGTATAAGAAATTTAAGAAGGAGATTAGGAAGTTTGGTTTTAAATCTAGTAAAGTAGAAAGTTGTGTTTTTACCAAGGTTACTAGTAATTATAAAGTTCTTATTACATTTTATGTTGATGATTTATTAATTTTTGGTTCTGACATGCATTGTATTAATGTGACTAAAAATTATTTAACTCAAGTATTTGACATAAAGGATTTAGGTCCAGTAGATGTCATTTTAGGAGTTAAAGTTATTAAAAGGGATAGTAAATATATCTTGACTCAATCACATTATGTTGAGAAATTATTAAGGAAATTTGGTTATTATGATTGTAAGCCTAGTAAGGCTCCAATTGATCCACATGTTAAATTAATTCCTAATCAAGGTGAGCCTATTAATCAAAAGGAGTATGCTAAAATCATTGGTAGTTTAATGTATGCCATGAATCATACTAGGCCTGATATTGCATGTGCTGTTGGAATTTTGAGTAGATTTACTAGTAATCCTAGTATTGAACATTGGAATGAGATTAGTAGAGTTATGAGATATTTGAAATATACTTTGCAATTTAGCTTGCATTATAATTGCTCTACTTTTGTCTTGGAGTGTTACAGTGATGCTAATTGGGCATCAGATAAGATAAATTCAAAATCAACAAGTGGATGGTTATTTACCATTGGTGGATCCATTGTTTCTTGGTCCTTTAAAAGACAAAAGTGTGTGGCTTTGTCTTCTATGGAATCTGAGTATGTTGCCATGTCATTGGCATCAAAAGAAATTTTATGGTTAAGGAGATTCCTAAAAGGTATTCCATTTGTGGAAATACCAAGAGGACCCATCACATTATTTTGTGATAATCAAGCTGCAATTCACAGTGCTAAAAATGAAAGGTTATCTAATAATAGCAGACATATTGCTATGAGATATAATTATGTAAGAAGCGTTGTGAAAAAAGGGAGGGTAGAGGTAGAATATCTACCTACCGAGCAAATGTTGGCTGACCCCTTAACAAAACCTTTAAATGGAGAAAAGTTAAGTAAAATTTGGAGAGGTATGGGACTTTTACCGGTAATGGTGGAGTGATCATGTTTGAAACCAACTTCATCACTTTGATGTTGATATGAAGACATGTTTTTAATCAAAAATCAAGTGCATAGAAGTTTAATGGCGATTCACTCATAAATTACTCAAGAAATGTAAGCACGAGGTGCTACATTTTAGTGTACTATATTATTTAAGGAATAGTGGCGGTAATAAAATAAACAAAACTATTCCTTTAAAGTCCTTTACCTAAACAAGTACACTATTTATTCACAACAAAAGAGGTTGAACATTAAAGTTCTCAATAGACTCATAGCTAATTTTAGTGGAATGGAAGTTGTGAGCATTTTTGATGAGTCTACCTATGCAAGTAGGAAGGTTAGAGGTCGCCTTCTATAGATTACACCGGTTAATCTTAGAGTACTTGCTAGAACAGGATTAGCGCAAGGCCTTTTAATTATTTAATAAACGCGCTTGCTATGGTGGAACTTTGAGCCCATGTATAATGTGAATATGTTTCCTTAGTAATTCATATTCAATCCAAAGGTTCAAGCCTTGGCCACTTTTGGATATGCATTATACAATACCAGTATACTTAATAATATTATTAGAAAATAAGTGGGGGATTGTTATATATATAATTAGATATTTTCTAATAACATATTTATTATTTATTTTATATAATATTTACTTTAACTTTATGGATGCGTGTGATGTGGGTATGGATGCATGTGAAAAACAGATTGGATCTTGAAACATGGGGCGGTGTCAGACAAGGAAGAAAAATAAAAGGATAAAGATAAGGAGTAGTTAAAACCAGTTTGGTAACTACTTTATCTGCAAAATTGAAAGTTGAAATTGAGTTGGATAAAACCGTCTCCAACGAGCAGATTGAAATATTATTTGATATAAATATCAAATACCGAAGAGTTATGCTGCTTGCATCTGTTTTACACCGGTGTAAAGACACCGGTTGGGAATTGTAAATAAATAATACAGTCCCAAGAAAAACAAACAATTTTGAAGAAATATTCTGATTTTTCTTCATCTTCTTCCTTGAATTTCTCCACTTTGCTTTCAAGTTTTAGTATACTGGTTGGGTGATTAAAGTTTATTTTAGTGGGCATTGTATCATGGGGATAACGTTTCCTATAGAGAGCTGGAAACTATTATCCTTAAGAAAGGTTCCTGGAACTGCCTTGCTCACACCAATTGCATCTACAACTCTCTGCATACAACACCTAGACCCTAGTTAGAGGGAGAGAATAGCTGTGCCGTCTTGTGGAGGTAAAAATCAGAAAGACATCGATGTTTTGCCTGTCCCGTTTTTAATTTTTTATTATGGCTAACGTAACGATTTGCTTCATTTATACAGTAATGATATATATTTTTTTCCAATGATTTATTGGTACTGTAGGAGTTTGATTTTATTGGATAAAATATTAAGTATGAATTTTATGAACGGGAAAGATGAATGTTAGAAAAGTTTTATTATGATATTTTACTTAACTTTGAATTAATTAGATTTAATAAAATTTTTAAATATTAGAAAGTTTAATATAAAAGAAAAGTAACGATAGATATTTTTTAATTTTAAATTACACAATAAGAGATAATATTTACATATCCCTTAACTTATTACATTTGTATGTTAAACTATTAGAACTAAAGACTCTTTTTTTACTGAAAGGAAATTACCGTTTAATTGTTTGGGTCATTAACATTATAGTAATAATATTTAATTACTTTGATTTTGAGTTGGACAATAAAAAATAACTCTTTCTTATACTTTAATATACTTCATTTTGTATATCAAATAACTTGAATTCAAGACATATTTTAATTACTTTTTCATTAAAAAAAAAGTTAATCACTCATAAGAATTTTAAAGATAATGAAGAAGAATGAAATTTCCTTTCCGTGCACTCACATGATCCTTATTTCATTTACTCAGATTTGCTTTTCACGAGTTGGTAGTTGTTCTCGATTTAACTTTGGTACATTTTCCCCATCAATTCTTCATCATCAAAGAGATCATTAACGAAATATCACTTTTTTTTTTAAGGGAAAAAATGAGAGAGGAAGTAACGCGCGCTGATGAATTTCAACCTTGAAAGTTATTTGAGGTGAGATATTGGGGTGAATTAATAAAACATATTTGTTCAAATTATTACGCACTAAAATTATACCTTTAAAAGATTGGGGGTTTGGGACACCATCTGTAATCATAGACAAATTTGGCTATTAAAAAAAAAAGTAAAAATGTGTAGAAAACTCTTAAACTTACAAAACTAAATTGAAAAAGATAAGTAAGAAAGATATATACAAATTATAGATGTTGCACAGAAAAGCAAAGAAAAAGACAGATCACTGCATGCAATTTCCAAGAACGTTAAGAAGAACTCTTCTCATAAGTATGCAAGAAAAACCCAGAAAATTTCTTACACATTCTAAGAAAATCGTGATTGACATGCCATAATACGGCTAGATTGTCTTTCCTGCTCTAGGCTAAGTGTGGAAAATGTCACTTGATCTTCACCGCTTGAATGATGATCCCTCCCTCCTCTGTTTGGGTTTGTAGAAGCTTGTTCTTTTTAAAAAAACATTGATCACCAGAATTTTAATTAATTAATTTATTTTGTGTTATTGTCATTCAACTTATAATTAACTACTTACATTTTTTTTTAATGATTCATACATTCATTTTTTACATCCCATAATTAAAAAAAAAGGGGAAATATTTGCAAGAATGTTCACCGCAAGCATATTAGATTTTCATTCATCCAAAAATGTCTTACATTCACAAATTTATTTTGGCAATAATTCAAGCGAATCTCCCAATACTTTTTGCCTTGTTAAACTTGGAAGGTGAACGAATTACCAAAACTTCTTGATTATTTTGAATAAAACTCAGATGTTTTTTTTAGTTTTTGTTTATTCAAAAGTAAAATGCAAATGACAAAATAAAAACCAACAAAGAGATTTCTCTGCCTCATTTTGGTGTGATGCATGCTAAATATTAGATAATATTCTCTAAAATATCAAAACAATCCATTGACCCCTCATTGACATTTTATCATTTGTCTAAATCTTTACCTATAGTTGATTTAATAGTATATTTAGTTTGAGAAAAATATAAGAGATTAAAGGGTAGAAGAGAATGAGTTTTTCTAACTAATTAAATTATAATATTTTTAAATATTATAATTTAATTAGTAAAAAAATTCACCCCTCTCCTCTTCTCAGTTTCCTTTGAACAAAACATATCTTAGGTCCCTATTGACATTTCCTTGATAGTATTAGTAATTACATAAATTTTTTAGTACATCGAAGGATTAGCTATTTGGTATTACAAACATTTGAATCTTTAATTTTGACCCAAAATTAAAATTTTTAAATTAGTGGGTATAAACTCCAATAAATTCTTGTTAGTATTAGTAATTACATAATTACAATGAGTCATAAAAGATAATGAGTGCGCATTTTCTTAAAAAGTTTTTTTTTTTTTTTGTTTTTTTGTTTTTTGTTTTTTCTACATAGAGGGTTAGTCATATATTCCTCTTTGGTTGGCATGACATGGTTGGTTATCACAAGAAATTTGTCACGTTTTTCTGTTAACTCTCTATCGTTTCCAAAATCATCAATAGAGAGTAAATGCGAGATACCGACATTAAATTTGAAGCCATTAAATTGAGATATTGGAGTGAATTACAAGATGAAAGACATAGCCAATAAGAACATAAATTATAGTGATCCTCATCAAATTGTATTTCAAGAAGCTAATCCCTTTGTTATTGCCTTTAATATGGCACATAAAAATTGACCGGACGGTTACTAATCTTAGAATATCCTCTGCCCATGTTCCCCAATTGTAAATTTTTAAACATTATAGTTCTTAAATAGTTAAGTTGACTCCCTTTAGTTTTTAAAAGCTTTAAATATGGTCCTTTAAGTTTTGACAAAAGTTTCAAGTATTTAACAAAATTTATTTGCTAAGAAAAGGGAAATATTAAACTTAATTAATTGTTTAAAATTATGATTTAAGAAAATTATAAAAAATTTAGTCTTTAGGTAGTATGATTGTGGTTTTTAATTTTAATTTCGATTTTTATAAATTTTGTAGCTTTAAACAAAAAAAACTCATTTATTTTCATACATTTTTGCAATATATTATCAAGATTATTAGTAAAATAAGAACAAAAATGATTTTAATATTATTAAACAAATTTATATTTTGTTGTTGTTAGTGTTAAAACTCATTTTAAAATATTATTACTTAATGACTTTTAGTTTTAGTTTTTGCAAAATTTATGAAAATCAAAATTAAAAATAAAAAACCACAATCATATTAAATGAAGTATTACACTCTATTTGGTATAATTTTAAGAATTCCACGATGATAAAGACAATTTTTTTTTTACAATTGTCAAAAATTATAAACTGTATCACACAAGTTATTATCTATATTCAAAACTAATATATATAATTATTTTAGCCCTTCAGCCCTCTTATCTTCAAAAGGGATAAACTCCCAATTTGCCTCTATACTTTTTTTTTTTGTAAGCAATTTACATCTTGATTATTATTTTTTCTGTAATTTACGCCCTTAATAACTAATTAACCATCTGCAGAAGCCTAAAATTTAATAGAAAAGGGAGAGTAAAAGGGAGGGAAGAGAAAGAAGAAAGGGGATACTTCCAAATTTTTTGTAAGACTTATAAATGCATAAATGGATCTTGACTTTTAATTAATAACCAAAATTAATTCATTTAACTTTTAATTAAATGTATGCTTTGGGTGAGATTTTTCCTATATTTATACTAGTACGACACTAATGAGGATGGGGTAATGGCTAATGAAGTAGAGACAACTATATCACCTTACATGATGGAATTTTGTTTATTTTAAGCTAATTACAATGTTAATGTGAAGTTTTTATGGACTAAAATACACAAAATATATGTTTATTTGAAATAGAATCTTAGGCTTTGCTAAGCCACACTCTTCTTTCCTCTCTTGAGATAACTTTACATTGGGGGCTGAAAAATTTTGTAAGGTAGAGTTTTTCTTCTTGTTGATAGACTAGTTATTTGCTCATAAGCTAGTTTCTGATTATTCCTATGTAGCAGTCATGTATGATTACTAGATTGTACTTTGAATTATTATTGGATTAATAAATTTCACATTTCATCCCAAAAAAAATATATATATGTTAAGGGGCTAATGGTCACAAAGACAAATAGTTGGATGGCTAAGGGGTTAAGCCAAGAAATATCTGCAGGACCGCCACCTTGTCTTGTTTGCTTTCTGAGGCCGTCGTTTGATTTCACGGTTGCTACATGTCGGTGGCGGCGCGGCGGCACAACAATCACGTTTTAGTTTGAGATTAAGATTAGGGCAAGTCTTGTTTTTGAAACAAAAATAAATTTCTAAATACTCTTTTTCTGTGGTCTTGCATTCTGCACGTGACTCCATTCTCGTTTTCTCTTACTAATACTTTTAATATAACTAATTGGTACTTCCGTTCTTCAAACAAAACCAGGAAGTTGCAATGGCGGCTGCTACAGTGTCACGGTTCTCCACCCTCATTCCCACCCAAAACCAGTTTTCCAAATGGGATTCTGAACGTGGGTTTTCGAGCAAAAGCCTTGATTTTCTGCATTTGAGGGCCAAGAGTGGCGGAATAGGGAGGGTTGGACTCCGTGTTTCAAAGAAACTGAATGTCGTTTCTGCCACCATTGATAAGGAGAATGTAGTGTCTCTGCCTGAGCCTGTGGCTCCGCTCACTCGTTCCAAGTGAGCATGCGTTTCCCCTCTTGCTCTTTCATTATATTTGCTACT